CCCCTCCCCACCCCCCAAAAAAAACCCAAACCCCAGCCAAAAGCAAGCCTTTGATTAGATATGGCCAGATTGCTTTTATAGCAAACACTTTATCAGACAATCAAGGTACTCAGGAAGTTCAGTAGTGGGGACACTACTTACAGTCCTGTCAAGAAAGTAGAAAGAGCCATTTCTGCATGGTCTCAAACCTCCTCTCTGGCTCTGCTTTTCTGAATTTGACGCCTACAGGCTCAGACCCAATTCTCTCGCTGTGCACATTGTGCAAACACTTAACCATTGTGCAAAAGAGACGAAAATGCTACTCTTTCATGTGGTACCGCTTCACATTTGCTCTCCACTTAGCATAAGAGGCTGCACAAATAGCATGTGGCTCTCAGAGTCTGCACTTCCCCCCAGCCCCAGCAGTTAGGGCTGTGTCTTGTGCAGAACAGCGGCACGGCCCCTCTCCACCCTCTCTGGCTTTGCAGGCACAGAGAGCTTTTGTGATGCTCTGACCTTCCAGCTCCCAAGCAATTCTCAATGTCTATGCATCCTTGTGCCTATATCACCCGGGATTTGACTCGGTAATAATGGGCTAATTGCCAGCGCGTGGAAACCAGGAACTACATAAGCAGAGGCCAAGAGAATAGTTACAAATCTGAAAAAGTTTTATCTGTGAAATACTTGATAGTGAGGCTTGCTCTGTATTTGAGGCTTATTCATGACTAGCTATTGTAGAACAAAGCAACCAGAGGGAGCTGAAAGACTTGGTTGTCCTATTCAAAATTGCTTTCAGTCAGATTTGAAAGCTGACAGAAAACTCTTGTAACTAGTAGCAGCTTGGTGCTAAAGGAAGATATGACCAGAAATTGTATTGTGGGTTGAATGGTCTGTAAAACACAAAAAAAACCCCACAAGCAAGAAAAACTTCTAGTTGTGACACTACTGATGTTTGGTTTGTGTTTTATTTTTGACTGATGTCCTCTGATCTAATTCTCTCAAACTTTTTCATTAGGTTTTTTTTTTTCCCTCCCATTCCTGGAGTAAATAAAGGAGAGAGATGATACTGAAAGCGATTGTGCTGCTGTGCTGTGCTCTGGGCATCAGCACATTCCCCATGGAAGAACCTGAAGATGGAGGCAAGCACTGGGTGGTGATTGTTGCAGGTTCGAACGGCTGGTACAACTATCGACACCAGGTAAGGACCACTGGTCCCACATGCTGATGCTGGCCACACTCCAGAAGATGCCTGCTCTGGGACTCACGGGGAGATGATAGCTGCCTAGACTAGTTCAGCCCTTCTATCTTTTGGGCAAGTGCTTCTACTTCTAGGCTTCCAGGAGTGTGTGAAGTTTTCAAAACTATCAGCAACAAGATTCACTCACAGCCTGGCCTTAATTCTTGGCATTGTCACCCCAGGAATTCCCTTCCACCGTTCCTTTTACTATTTTAATTTTTTGTTTGCTTACAACTTTGTCCAGTCTTTCATCTTTTGAGAAGCTGTCATTAGCAGGAGGTGCAGTATTCTTCCTCTAATCATGCTTTTGCATCCTGGGAGACTTGTATCATTTAGGCTAAATATTCTATTACTAGGCTAGAGGATCTGACCCCAACTTGCAGGTGAATAAATGACGTTTTAAATTAAACCTCATTTTGAGACACATGCATGTTTCTTTCCATTTGTTGTCCTCTTTTCCTTATGTTATGAAAAAGCTCCCCTTCTTATCTCCAGTTAAAAAAATCTGTGAAGGCCACAAATGCACAAGTGTGTTTTTGTGGGGTGGAGGACATGCAGAAGGGGGGTTCTCTTTAACCTGAATCAGTTTGCTCGCTGAGTTTGACAGCATGATCTCAGAGTTGTGTTGGCACTACAAGGGTGTGGAGCACCGAGGTGTAGGGATCAGAGTGAATGGCAGAAAGAGGAGAAAAGGGAACAGGAACTCCTGAGTTTGACACTGCTGTCAAAGCCAGTGTGTTGTGGAATTGTGGTGTGAGTGTGAGTGTCAGGATGGACAAGATTAAATCCAAGTGACTTAACTCTGATTAAGTTCAAGACTTATAATCAGCAGTCAGGAGACTACTGCAGTTTTTCCCTTTGGGGAATTCTTGGGCAATCCCTTAAACAGATTAATTTACACTTAAATGCAGTCTTGGCTCTAAACTTGGAACTAGCTTTTTCTTTCTTGGAGAACATGGTCCATTTGATTCTGATTTATGTGTACATTTGTATATTTCTACATGTTAGAAAAATAGTTTACTAGACTAAGGTGAACTCAAACAGAGAGTGAAACCCTAGTGTACAAAGCCAGCATCTTAAAAGTTAAACTGTATTAAATGTACTGGGAGCATATATCAATCTGATTTGCCAAACACTGAAACTTTTAAAAGTATTATTTTTAATGTAACTGCGTGTAAAATCTAGAGAGGCTTCATCCTCTCTATTTCTGTTGATTGAGGAAGAAATGAGCCTTTTGTGTGTTGGGTATGCTGGGTTTTATGTTTACGTTTCTCCTCCCCCTCAGCTCACAACCAGTTTATCATTTCAGCGCAGTGGTGAGCTTAAAACTAAATGAACCAGACTGACAACCCTGTTGCATCTGAAGAAGAACCTGTTACTGGCAAATGCTACCGCAACACTTTGACACACTAGTCTTAGGGATTTTGCCTGCTCCTTGCACTGTAGCTATCACCTGATAACCATATTTGGGATATTGCAGCCTTAATGTAGACCCTTCCTATCTCAAATTAAATCTGAAAAAAGAGATTTTAAAAGTTGAAATCGGAATACAATTATAAAAATACTAGTGTTGTACTTGATCGCTGCCCGCCCTGGGGTGTCTAAATATAATTACTGGTTGTTCCTATTGCTGTATAACCAGTCTCGCTGGCTCTCCTCCACTCTAGGAGGAGTTAATACTGCAACATTCATTCTTTAAATAAAATTACATTTTTGAAGCTGTGGCTCATGAGAATTACTTTGCTGCAGTTGCCCAAGCATAGAGTTTTTGATCTTCCTGTCAGCGAGCCTTCAATGGCAAGTATGCCTACCAGGTATAATAGAGTTATCAAGAACACAAGATGCACTTACATATTTGTGTCCAACAATAAGTTTTCTAAACATGCCAGTTTCACAGAAGCAAATTAACTTTTGAGTGTGGTCATGCTTTGCAGACTGCTATTAAGTTATTGCTTTTCAACATTAGTAAAAATGAGAACAGGATTTCTTTAAACACCTTCATTTTGAAGGTAACATCAACTAACAATGCAAAATACCTGCGATGTGAGATTGTTCTGAATTTCATGCCTAGAAATTTCTGTATTTTAACCTCTACCACTTGCTTCAGGTACAGTATTAACATTTAAAAAAAAAAAAAAAGAAAATTAGACCACTACTAATAATCCTATCAAAGTTATAAAATCAGCCTCAAAATAAGTGAATCTGTGTGAAGGACCCTTCAGAATGGGGCTGAGCTCCCACTTACCTGTCCTGGGCAATGTACTGTGCCTCTTAACTTTTTACAAAAAGAATCAATTCCTGCACGATGCAGTGCGTCAGCAGCCTGTGCTGTCTTGCCTAGCGGGCTTTTGTAGCCAACCTGAAGGGCCTGGCAGGAGGGAGCACCTCCGGTGGGAGGGCATACTGTGAGACAGACCTGGCAATTGTTCATGGAAGATCCACTCTGTGTGCGTCACGAAATGTAATCCAGAGAAGGGTGCCAAAAAATTGGGGAAACTTGTTCCCAGCAAAACCAGCTGAACTGTAGACTTCTAGGAGAGTTACAGAGGAGGAAAGGAGAAATCTCAGCAGTTACAACAGAATTTTGGAAGCATTATGCAGACTGATAACCATGTCTTTATGTGTGTTGTTAGTATTCCCTACTTTACAGCAGTGGAAGCAAAAGCACTGTAAATATTTAAATTATTTGCTCAAGTCATTTGCAGTGGAAGCAGGAGTAGGACTTGGACTTACAGTTCCGTGCTTCATCCATCGTGAAAGTCATTCTATAGTGACCACATGGAGAAATGCATGTTATTTTTCAGTAGAATAATACCCATATCATCAGAAAGTACAGCAGCACTCCAGGATTGCAGATTTGTGTAATTCTTTGCTTTCCAAGGTATAAACTGCAGAATAAATCTTGTACTCTAATTCACTTTCCTCCTGTCATCACCTTTCTTCCTCAGAGCTTCTGTGGTCTAGCCTGTGTACAAGTGAATTTTTACACATGAATGTTCCAGTAAGTAGTTGCTCAATGTGACTTTTTTTTATTACTGGACTGGTTGCTGTTCCCTACATGCAGCTAAGCACTGATAATATCCCTTCGTAATTTGAGACCTCTGCTGACACACCTCTGGGTTTCAGTTGCTCAGTTCAGCTGTTCAGGGTACAGTTAATACATGATGTTTCATGTTTGTGTATTACATTTGTATTTTGTGAGCTCCAGTTGCTTTGTATGCTGTCTGTGCACAGCACAGTCAAAACCTACTCTGTTGCCTTCTGCAATAGTTACCTAATGGCAGGATGTGTTCATCTGACTCAACAACCGTAAAAGGAGAAGAATATTACACCTTCAAAAAAAAGTCTAATTTCATACATGAAAATTTGTGGGGAAAATAGTCCATCATTGTATGCTCTACAGACTCCATGAACAGTAAGTTTGTAAAGACTGTGCAGACCCTGTAAATGCTGAGTTTGCCCCTGTAACCTCAAGGAATCTGAAACTCCTTCTAAGACTTGTAATTCAGCTGTCAGTGGTCAGGATCCACTATCAGTGGTGCAAACCTCAAGTGTAGACAGATAAGGAAAAAACCACCGTTTGCACTTATCTCTGAGTGAGATTCACACCTTGCAGGCACTTGTTTCCTCTGTGATGGCTGAACTGGGACTGTTTCCTAATCAGGATGATCTAAATGTCTTACACATTTAGCTCATCAAGTTTCTAAAATAAATTTTAAGTGTTTTGAATAGTGTACAGCCCAATGTGACAGGCTTACTGTCATTGCAAAGCTAGCTTGTATATTGCCTTATGCTTCTGGCTTATCAGTTCTTCGGTGTTTTTACCCATAACTTAGTTTTTTTTATTAGAATTGCTTGGGCTGTGGAAGGACTATCGACATGCTCCTCTCTGCTCCTCCACAGTTATTCTGATTCCTCTATAGCAGCTTTTTTATTACCAGACTGGCTGCTATTCTCTAAATGCAACGAAGCATTCATAATATATACCAGAAAGAGTGCTTCCCCCCATTCCCTGACAAAGTGGTTCAGCTCTGTACAATGCAAAGAGCTACATGATATGTCTCTGTAAAGCTTAGTGACATATGTGAGCAAATACAGCACGAAATGCTACTGGTGGATTTAGAGAATGAGCCAACAACTAGCTTTCCTTAAGATAAATAGAATTTTGTATGTACTTCTGCCTCTCCTTGGAGGTGGTCGTACCAGCTAACTAAAACCTAAAGCTGGCTTCACAAACGGATCAGAAAGAGAGACAGACCAATACTTTCTGGATACTCCAAAAGACATAGTCAATGGAAAAGCCTCATGAGAAACAGTCTTAATAAAGGTGGAGTACATAGTTGAGGAGCAAAATAGCTGAAAAAGTCTGGTAAAATTAAAATGCTGAAAATAAAAACATTTGCATTTGCATACATGGGTCTCTTTCCAGGTGTTGTTTTTAGTCTTCTACTTACTGAGCTTAATAGGGTAGGGTTTATTCAGGGTTTTGCACACTACCAACCAGAGCAGTATTTTATTCCAGGACAGTGCTAAATTCTCCAGTCTTGCAGGTAGCAGACATTAGGGATGCTGGGTTGCCTTGGCTACTTGGCTTCAGTTAACATTTCCTCACTCTGCTTACAAAATTGTAACTGAAGCTATGGGAAAACCTTTGCTAAGTTCTTAATACGGTTACAGTTTTTGTTTGATGCACTGATGTATGTTTAGTCAAGGGAATGAAACATGGCTGGCATTTCAGACATATTCTTCTACCATGCTTACATATTAGAGTTCATTCTTTTTTAAGCTGTGGCACTTCAGCGTACCTGTAATGGGAACAGTGCCACTTTGCAATGAAGCTGGCCTTTCATTACACGTGCTTCTTAGCCATGAACCTAGCAGTCATAAGACCAAAAGTAACCAATTTCACAGAAATCCAAGCTTTTCCCTTTAGGAACTATTTATGCATGCATGTGTCATAAAACAACCTGATTTTTCCAACACTCCTGCCCCACCAGTCTGCTTGAAAGCTGTGTCACTCATACGTGAACAGCTGTATGGCAGAGGAATAGTTGGGGTGTGGGGTTTTTTTTTTTTCCTTTTAGAATTTCCCCCAAATGTACATTTGGGGAAACAAAATGCCCATCCCAGGAAAACAGGTGAATTCCACCTCTGATCTCCATGCTTTCAAAATCTAGGAGTTAATTATTCAAGCAGATTTAAGCATAGTTCTTCCACATAAATTTATTGATGTAGCAATGGGTTCAGACTAACCTGAGGATGGAAGGTTTGAACTGTGCCATTAACAGTGACCATTTGGGAGCTGGCACCTGAGGTCAGTTGTGCGGTAGCTGTACAGCTACACCTTCTCCCATTCTTCTGTGCAGGGCAGCTGCCCAAATCATGGCCACAAAAGTATTAGTATTTAGTGACTATCCAGTAAATGTTTGTAGCATTCATTTCACATACTAAACCAACAAGAATAATACCAACAAGAGATCTGGAACAATGTTGGCTGTCTCCTTCAGGGTGGTTTTACGGGTACAGCTATGCCAGAAATAACTCTGGAAGAAACAGGGTTCAAATAGCAGTATTTGAGAGACAGTTACACATCAACAGGAAATATTCTAGATTCACATACGCCCCCCCTACTCTAGCAGCAGACTGTTTCTATTCCGGTTTTAGAGAGATTTATTTTTTTATGTGTATGGGAGGGAAGAGGAGGAGCATGTGACCAACATCAAAGGTGGCTAGTCAGGTCCGCTAATTCTATGCAAAAAACCCCAACCGTTTACTCAAACTGTCCTACTTCAGCCAATGGAGTTTTAGCAGAAAGCATCTTTTTGCTGCTCTAGCCTACATTGGTGCTACCATTATGCAACCAGCTGGCACAGTTCCCTTAGCAAAAGCCTTAAAAGGCTGGAACAATCCCCAAACAGGCGTAAGTCAAGGTTGAGGGGAATTGATTACATTGACCTGTTTCCCTGCACACTAGGGAATTTAACCCATTTAAATTTACCACCAATGTCTACTTTACTGTTTACTAAGACAGGACATAGTGAACAAACAGAAGAAACAAAAAAGCTGATAAAACATTTACAAAGCTTAACTAATTTGGGGTACTTTGGTATTAATAAAAAAACACCTCTGAAGTCCCTACTGGCCAGCTACATGGCTGTGGGAGCACAAACACTCGCTGGTTGAATGTGTTGATACTAAATCACTGTTGTATGCCTAAGCATTTCTGTGTGTTGCCAGCCTGTTTCTCTCAGTGTAACAGAAGTGTATTATGTCTTGAGAGTGAGAGGGGATCTAGGATTTACTCATCAATCAGTGTAGAGATGCCCTGATGAGCGTTTTCTTGTACTTTTGCTTGGGTTGCTTCTGAAAATCAAATACCTGTTTAGTCAAACCGGCACTCTGCTGTTTCATGTTATATGTGATGCCTTTATAACTCTGTTTAACCTCTGCCTTTTGACTTGTTGAGGCAGCAGCTGGCATAATGCTGTACAAGGAAATGGTGAGCTAGAAAGAGTGGCAATTGTCTGGGATAGGTGGAAGAGAACATAGGCTGACCTGCCTGGTAGGAAATGGAACTGCTTTTAGTAAGGACAATTTAACTTTCAGGGTTAGTCAAGTGAAGAGATTCTGCTGTGGGAGAGTTCATTAAAATTGAACGTACGTCACCCTTCCCAGAATCTTGCACAACTACCCTCTCTTTTCAGCTTCAGCCACACTTAGAACACCAAGGATTATAAAATGACAGGATTTTACAGTGTCCTTTCAGTCAAAATAGTCAAAATCACTAATACTCCTAAATAATCTGAATTTATGTAGGTCCACTTAAACCACTTTGATGAGTTCAATAGAACTAAGCTTTAAAGCTTGCTTCTTGCCTGCATTTGGCGTGTGCATTTGTAAGATGAGCTTTCTTCCATTAAATCTGCACAGCTTTTCTAGCATGTGGTAGGTTGTGGTTCTAGAGTTTAGGAATGATTGTTGATATCCCATTAGGTCATTCACAGACTGCATGTCTAAAAGAAGAGAATTATTTGGGCTGGGGTTACTAAGAATTTAGCATTTTGATAGAGGTTTGCATTTACTGTAATATCACTTTTATGAGTATTGTTATTTCTGCATCATGGGAAGGTGGTTCTGTAAAGAAAAACTGCATATTCATATCCTGTACAAGTCAGGAGAAGAGCCTGAACAGAAATTCTGCAATTCTGTTTTCCACTGAAATATGTTTTCTTGCCCGGAAGTTGCTTCACTGTTACTTCACAAGAAATACATAACTAAAAAGGAAATTTTCCTTAACCAGAATTCTCACCTAGAGAAACAAAATTTAACAAAATCTTTGCAGAGATGAGATTGGTAAATCATACTTGCTTAAGCCAAGCACAGTCTTTGATGCTTAGTCATGCAGGCTTGGTACAGAACTAATTGAAATTGGTGGATATCCAACTCTTCTTCTGCTTAGCACACTTTGGATTTGTCTGTCAGCGCACAAGGTTTTCATTCAGATTTTCTCATGGAATGCAGAACATTGCTGAGAACCTTTTGTTAAATTTTGTTATCTTACCAAGTCTGAAGTAACTTCTGGGTTTTGTTTAAATAAGAACTCAAAATAGGTAAACAAGAGAGAGATTTTAATCATAGTCTCCATTACTAATGCCATTACAAACACTGAGTTTTGGCTTAACCCATGCATTTCAGCCTGCTAGCAACCCTCAGTCTCTTATATTTGAAAGTGGTTTCCTTTGGACAATAGCCTGCTCTTAGGCCTGCAAAGCTATTTCTCTTCTTGGCTCAAAGGTAGAATCTTTGTTAAAGCTAGTAATGAAAATCTGCTTAATTTCAGGCAGATGTGTGCCACGCGTACCAGATTGTACACCGAAATGGAATTCCAGATGAACAGATCATTGTCATGATGTATGATGACATTGCTGATAATGATGAGTAAGTGATGAACGTGCACTAGTCGCAAACTATATGGTTACTACAAACATGCCATAGTCACCAGTGTATTTTGAGTTGGTAGCAGTTTTGTAAAAAAAAGCCTTTAAAACCACCTTCATATGCATAGAGACGTTTTATCCATCAGCATAATAATTCTCCTTTGAAGTGTGCTCATGAGCTTTCTAAGCCTTCCTCCACAACTCAGCATCAGTTGTGGCACTGAGGACTGCAGAGCTTCATTGTTATGAGAGTAAGTGATCTTAACTCCCAGGCCTAACAGTTTACAGCAGATAAGTAGCCTAAAACCACAAACACAGGGAAGCTCCGTGTATGACCTGCAGGGCTTTTTTGAATGGACGTTATCAGATTAATTCCCAGAATGTACATTCAACAAAGAAGGGTACATGTACCATTCTTGGTGACTCTCTAGAGCATATCTTTGCTTTCTATATGAAACAGTTCAGTTATACAGCCTCTAATTCTGAGACAACTTCAGCAGAAATCAGCGGACTTCACATGTACAGCAGCACCGGGAGCAAAGAAGAAAAGGGGCTAAAGGCAAGACTGAAAGTAGAGAGATGATAGCATTAGAGACCACCTGCCTACAGATTAATCGACATGATCTGAGGCAGGATACTTGAAGGTACTCCGAGGGTAAGGACACCTGTGGCGAGTATATGTAACTCACTGAAGTGAAAAGGCTTTTATATTCTGAGATCACTTGATGACACATGGTGCAAGCACCCATACTCTCTCAGGCAAGCTGGTCAGTCAGGACAGTTTAAATGGTTTCCTAGTTGTTCTGTGGTCATTGTGTGGCACATGGCTAATTCTTCATATTTATGTTCTGTTTAACTTTCAGAAATCCAACAAAAGGCATTATCATCAATAGGCCTAATGGCACAGATGTGTATGCTGGAGTGCCCAAGGACTATACAAAGGAGGTAGGAATGAAACACCATTCCCCAGGGAAGGTTCAGCATTAGCCAATGTTCTGAATAAATCCTTTCAGCCTGTAGCTTATACTCCAAAATGCACATAGTGTAAAGCCTCCAGCTTGTGCACCTGCATAGTTTGGCATAAAGTTTGGTGTTCATAAGATGAATGTAAATGATAGATGCTTTGAAGTGAAGCAGTGGTCATAAAAATAAACCTTTACACTGTTTCTGTGCTGGCATGCAAAATAAAATAAGGGAAAGTCTTGCATTCATAAATGTTGTAACTCAATCTGAAGAACAGTTGTGTAAGACTAATTGTTTCATTAAATCAGAACAGTAATCCAGTAACTTCGTGATTTCATGATTCAGTATCTGAGTGAATCATCAGTGGCTAATAAATTATGTGATGATATATTGAAAAGGATGTCCAGCTAAACGTGCCATCTGTGCATGGATTCTGACTTTCAGAAGCCATCTTTCTAACTGAAGATTTTGTTGTTGTTCATATGATCAGATTTAACTTTAATCCTCTTAAATCCTTAGGATGTTACTCCAAAGAATTTCCTTGCTGTTCTCAGAGGAGATGCAGAAGCAGTGAAGGGGGTGGGATCAGGAAAAGTATTGAAAAGGTAAGAGAAGCTTAATTTAGAAAGTAATTGCATGTGTCGTTGTACATTGGCACTGATTTCAACAAAAGAAGAGGGTAAACTTGAGAATCCAGCAAGACTATGTATGGCAATTCCAGGGCATTCATATTAGAAATCCAATGGTTCTGGTTTCTTAAACTATCCAGCACCAAGAAACAACTGCTGATATTTGGCTGGTATGGAGTCCAGTATAGGTCAAGGTCTAAGAACTATAGAGGATAGTGTCAACTGTATTAAGGTACTTGTTATTTAGACTATTGTCTTTTGCAAGAATAGCTTTTCGAAGAGAGTTTTATTAAGGTTTGGAGACCTCTAGGAAGGGTTTGCTAAGGCTTGGCTTAATGTACCTGAACAGTTGTATTAGTCACCTGAAGTGGTGAGACTTAGCAGTCAGTGGCAGAGGGACAGAGACAGCTTAAACAGCTCATCTGTTGGAAGAATTGCATGTCTAATCCCAGCCATGGTCTTTGTGGCAGATGTAAGGTTATTGAGGCTTTGAATATAACGAAATGGAATTGTAGTTTATAATTAATCGAAAAAAATCTTTGCAATTGAAAAAGTAGTATAAGCAATTAACCTGGTAATAGGTGCATTATGCTTAAGGTATTTGTAAACTAAGTTACACAAATGATTGTAAATTTGGCAGTATTCTAATATATTAACAATAATAGATTGTAGACTGGCTAAGTAGAATGTAAGATCTATAATTAATGGGTGTAGTTTATAAAGGCTTATATAATTTAGATGATTCAAGAATAAAAGCAATATATTTGAGGGTCTAATTAGAAGACCTCTTGAAAAGATACCTGGTGTCAGTTACTCATCTTGCTTCTACAGAGTTTGAGATAAACTATGGTGCCTATTTACTAAGATGTGTTATATTTCTAATTCAAATACCACTGGTAAAGAGTTACATCATGTTATATTTTTCTATGTACAGTATTTCCTGTAAAACCTTTAAGAATTTAAATTTGACCATTTGGAAGAACTAACCTAGTTAAAGAAAAATTGTTTAAGTGCCTATCTTCATCTGACAGTTTAATTTTAGAGACAAAGCAATGAAACAGAAGGGAAGAATCCTGCACTGGCATTGGGGAGAATAAAAAAAATGAGGGAGCAGGGCAGTAGTCAACTTAGGTATTGCTCTCAGTTGTTTAAATTTCATCTTCAAAAGCTGAGAGAGAAAATGATATATGCAAGGCATGTAGGCAAAAAGTTAATAAATTGCTGTACAGTTACTAGATTGTTCTCTTCTAGTGGCTGGAATGAGTCAAGATGTAACTATAAAGCATTTTTCATTAAAAAAAAAGTACTTCAGAGCACACCTCACCTGTGAAAGCTCGATGTTACAAGTCAAATAAGGGAGGGGCTGTGCAGAGGGCCAAAGACTCTCTGATACTGAGGAAGACAACTTGAACCCACATATAAAAGTCTTAGTTATTTACATTTCACCTTGTTTGAATTTTTTGCACTTAGGGTCAAGAGTGGGAGCCAGAAAAATAACACCCAACCCTTCCTTGTTAGGCTGTGTTGTGTGAATTTCCAAGTGGTCTGACTTCTGCTATAGGGTGGGACAAGAACTCAGTTATCCTCTGTCCAAAAGGCTTCTAGATTGTCTCCCAGGCCAGGCAGAAGCCTGGACAGTGTCCCCTTGATTTGCTGCAGTCATACCTCTTTGCAGTTAGGAAAGAGCAAGAGCAAATATGGATTTCTGGACCACTGATACAGAGGGAGAGAGGAGGGCTTGGGGACTCCTTCCAAACTGTTCACAGTATTTTTATATTTAGTTGTTCCTGAACACAGTTTAAAAGCAAAATCCCTTTGCAGATCTGGCTGTTTGGGCAAGACCTTAATATCACCCAAACATGATCTGTTTGCTTTAGCATGTAATAAAAATCCCCAGCAAACAGTGTACTGCGCAGACGTTAGGGAATCAGAGCCTGTGAGCACGCAGTGCTCAATCGACTGCAGAGCAACTTAGTACACATGCCAGTCTAGCCTAGTGGGTGAGTTGTATATGGACTGGTTCTTCATGGAGATGTAGGCTGACTGATTTGGCTAAGTATGGCCATACAGATCACAACAAGGTAATACATAAACATACCTAAGGATCTTACCAAAGACGTTTTTATGGTTTATCCCTGTGTTATTGGTGCTTCGGTATAACTTAGTTATAAAACCATTCCTTTTTTACCAGACTGCTATGAATGCCTGCAGTATAACAGATTCTTCAGATAGGCGTTAAGAAACAATTGTGCTCCCACCATACTCGACGTGCCAGCCCCTGCCTGGTGAAGTGAAACGTGAAGTGTAATTGCCCAGTTCCCCATGCTTGAGGGACTAGCCTACATCCCTGGTTTCATTCCTCCTGCAGACACTCATCTCCTCTCATAAGCACCCGAAGTACTATGCTTTGGGGGGAAAAAGTATTACTGAGAGGAGGAGGTGCTTCAGCTGTATAATTTTTGAATATTGCCGTGTCTTGGCATTGAGAAGCAGATGAGGTTTGTTGTAGTGAAGATTAGGTTGGAGTTGTTAGAAATAATTTGCTTGCAATTTTTTCATTACAGTGGTCCCAAGGATCATGTGTTCGTTTATTTCACTGACCATGGAGCCCCAGGACTTCTGGCTTTTCCTGATGACGATGTAAGCATTTTGAGGGATTACTTTATCATAAAACCTATCCTTTTAGTGACATACTCAAATAATAGGTAATAAATGTAAAACACAAAACTATTTGATGCACTGCCATATTGAGAGGGGAGGCAGAAAAGGAGCATCGTCACCCCAGTTTGGATTTTTTCAAGTTTGAATCTGAAGCATTCAAATTAAAATTAAATTATGTCATTTAATATTTCATTGGACTTTGGTGGTCCAAGCAGACCGTTTCACACAGGTATGACTTGGCTTTCTGGTGCACTATACATATCTCTAGGACCATTACTCATCTTTTCTGGAGTGGTAAATACCAGAACATTGTATTTCAGAAGGGCAAAGCACTGGATATATTTAAGGGGAAACAGTAAAGCTATTCACAGCAGTTAAGTTTGTATTCCCATTAAGTGATTTCTGTGTCTATTAAAGTGGTTTTAATAGAAGCCTTCTTATTTTACAGCTTCATGTGAAGGACTTGAATAAGACTATTTGGTACATGTATCGTCACAAAAAATACCAGAAGGTAAACAAACATATCAGAAGTTGTGAGATTAAAAGAGCAGCTGACATGGAAGAGAGATATTTGTCTTCATTTTGAGAGATGTTTAAAGGAGGAGGAAGCTGTTGCCATGCAATGAAATTTGGATTAGGATTTTGCATTTACAAGGATTGATCCTCTCCAAATTTTCTCTTTCTATTTTTAGTTTACTGCATATTTGCAGTCAATGTTGTAGTAGTGTACTGCCTTTTGAGAACAGTATATATTTTGACCAATGGTGGAGAAACAACTACTGCACCCTCATAATATGTACCTGAGTTGTTCTTCCTGTGCTTAGTTCACTTCAGACTGCACTGTTACTACAGGAAGTTTGCATATACCTCGTGTTTCTCTTACAGTTACTAACATTGTTTAAGAGACTTTAAGAGACTGTACCTCTTGTCAGAAAATTCTGTGCATTTATTTCATCACAAGTAGTTTTAAGCACAAACCCTAATATTTAGGGCATTGTAGCAGCTTCAACGTTTAGAACATTTTTAGTATCTTTTTTAAGCATCTTTCTGTGCTAATCTGTCTACTATGGCTGGCTGTATTTAGGAACACATAAATGGCCATTGGTTCCAGAAATACTACATTCAGTAGCCGTACATTGCTGTGCCTAAAGAGTGATTGTATTTGATTTGTGCTTTGTACATTAGTCAGTAGATCCCTGTGGGTTCTATAGAGATTAGTAGCATCTTTTCATTGTGATTATGTTTCCCTTTTCCACATAGTTTAGTTTTCCAAAATGAAAAATTGATCTATTTGCTTTTGTGTTTTATTTTGTAGCGTTATGGATAGCTTTTGTTTCAGGGATGGCAGTACAGGCCAGCCAGCTGCAGCTGAAGAGCACTGAAGGACTTTTTGCCATTTCCTCATGGAGTTTCTCAAGGTCTCTGATTTATTTCACAGATGGTGTTTTACATTGAAGCATGCGAGTCTGGATCTATGATGAATCATTTAGCTGATAATATCAATGGTGAGCAATCAGTAAACTTCATGAACTTAGATGTCACAGCTTGTCACAGGTGGGACCTAAACAGATACTCTGTCAGGGATAGGTTCAAGGCACTTTTATGTATGGGTTTAGCAGGGGAGCACAAGAATTAGAGAAAGTAATATTCTCCATTCATGGGAAGTTCCTTTTAAAGAATTAATGGAGCCTTATAAAGACTGTCAAGTCTTTCGGTTTCCTGCAAATGAGAAGTTGAAAAAGTATTTCTTTTCAGGAACTATGTGGTTGCCCTTATGCTGACATTTCTCAGCCTCAGCACAGCTCACAGCAGGTGTGAAGCTCCTGCTATCGGTTTCATTGAGTAGCAAAGGCACTTGGGAGACATCATTGCCAGGCAATTTTGCTACGCTTATTGCACAATAGCCCAGGAAGCAGAACTCAAATTTTTCAGAGTTTCTAAGCTCAGCCTTGATTAGGACGAGGAATCACAACCTTTTCAAACTCCTGCTCCATGGCAGGGAGACTGATTGCTTTGGCTTTCTTGTAGTTTTGAAGCTGTGATTCCAGGGAAGACAACCACGTGCCTGTCCGTGGCTTCCTGGGTCTTTGGCCCTGGAGTATGCTGCCTGGCACCCACCTAGACTTCTTACAGCCCTATCAAGGATTTACAGAAAGTTCACACAGAATGTTTCATACTGATGATTGTTCAAAATAAAGGCTCTGTGAATCAGTGTTTTTCAAAGTCTGTTCTATTGGAAATTTCCATTTTTCTGGTTTTACCATCAGCTCTGCCACAGACTTAGAAAGGCGAAAAATTGACAATTTATGTATTATACTGTGAAGCTGTCTTTGGCAGCCTTCAGTGGTGAACTACAAAGCTTAACTGGTTACGTAGTAAGCATTTTAAAGGGTGCTAAGAGCGGCACTTTACTACAAAGACAAGATTTAAGACTTCTTGGCTTTTGAACTTGAGGTACACTCTGAATAGAAACAACACTATAGCTATATAAAAGCATGCCTAACACTTCTTCATTTTGAAACTTGGACTTCCCTTCAGTTACACAAGTATGCTATGAGTTGACTTCGGCAAAAAGCCAAAATAGCTTTTGTCTTACTAATACCTGTAAAGACATGTTTACAGTATTTTTGTTGTGTTAGAAATGACTTACTGGGAATACTGTGCTTGGGGCAGATGTTATAGAGATTTGTTTTCCTTTTCTCTCAGTGTAGAGCGTCATCCAAGAAAGGATATGACTTAGGTGGCATTTTCTGGAAGAAAAGATGATTTAGGGGATTTACTCCAAGTCTGGGAAAAAGTCCTCATTATTGTAATAAAGAAAACGAATGTATAGATTGTTGTCACTGCACAGTGTTCTCAGGCAGTCCTTTGAATAATAGATTTTTCTCTCAGAAGTGCATACTCTTTAAACACCCCAGACCACACATTTGGCAGCAAGGAAGGAGCTCTTGTAACAGCACTGAGGTTGACTGAACAGAATGATTAACAGGCTTCTTTCCTTCCTGCTACTTGGAAGTAAATGATTGAAAGCCAAAATACTTAGCCAAATACATCACATGCAGAAAAGTACTAAATCATGTGGCGGTTAAAAAAAGAAAAAAATTACTTTCTATTTGTCTTACAGTTTATGCAACAACGGCTGCAAATCCCAGAGAGTCATCTTATGCATGTTATTATGATGATGAAAGGCAGACTTATCTTGGGGACTGGTACAGTGTGAATTGGATGGAAGATTCAGATATGGTAAGTTACTTACATGAGGTTTCTGCATTTCCATGCATGGAAAATCACTGGGGTTTTTAAAAATAGCTCCTTTACAGGATTTGTGAAAATACTGGGTTTTGTGTGACACTGAAATTAACACATTGAGTTGGTAAAAGTATTTATCTACTACTCATAACCATATATCATCTTTATTTGCTTGGGCCACTAAATTTATGTCTGAAACTAACTTTCAGAAACATTGTCTTCTTTTGTTATTTATAAGGTTAGAAACTGTCTGACTTCTAGTTTCAAATTCACATAATCTTGATTTGCTGATCTGAGACCACATCTCCCAATTTATTAAACAAATTGGGCAGTTCAGTAAGTTGTACCTCTGCTTCAGGGAGCCTTAAATACTGAACTGTGGCTAACCCATTCATTAGCGTAAATGGAAAACAGTATTGATGAAACAAATCTGGGATTTGTATGCTGGCCCACTTCCTTCGTGCCTATTTGCTAGGAGATTAGGAAATCACTAAAAGCAATTTGATAATATGCTGTCAAATCTGCTTTTCAATATTGACTTTTATGTCTTTCAAAGGTTGTATAGCTCTTGCCTTATACTTCCTTCTATATACTAGCAGCTAAGACACTTTCCAGGTTTCCTTGCATTTTTAGAAAGCTGAATGTAAGTATCTGTGACCACATGGAAGTTTCTTCATGCAGGAGGACCTAAGAAAAGAAACGCTCCACAAGCAGTTTCAGCTGGTGAAGAAGCGTACCAACACGAGCCATGTGATGCAGTATGGTAACAGAGTACGTATTTGAGTGGGCTTCCTGGTCAGATATATCTTAAAACTTTTTGTGCCCTATACTTTCATCCCTTTAAAAAAAAATGAAATCAACCCTGCCAGTTTACAGTGATTTAGAAAGTGAAACTGTTCATCTCAGAAGACCACTTAGCATTTAAGAGATGATGGTCCTGATGGTAAAGGAAATACAGCTTTGTATTGTGCTTTAATCCAAGGAGTCAGGATACAAGTTGTCCTCCAAGCTCTGCCAGCGATCGAACACTTCACTTCAGTCAAGTATAAGAAGGGTATTTACCACTTCCAAGCATATTATGAATATTAATGTTAGTAAGTACATTGATCCCTCAAATGGGAAGAGCTAAGAGGTCATACATCCTTTATAATAGTCCCATTATTCAACAGATTAATTGTTTGTTAAAAAAAGAAGTTCGGTTACTTAACCTGACGGTCTTTTTCCCCACAGTGAGTTCTGGAAATAAAAGTTCCCTGATTTTGGCAGCCTTGACCTTGTATTAAAAAAACTCAATGTGTGCACACACACTCACCGCCCATCAATCTCCTTTATTTTCTCTAATAAAGCAAGTTTAGAGAGTTAGGTTTGCATGGCAGAGCAAAGACAGGCTACCTACTGGAGGTGACTGACAGTTTCCATTTGTGTACTTTCCAACCTTCAGAGCATCTCCTCCATGAAAGTGATGCAGTTTCAGGGCATGGGGAAGAAAGCTACCCCCATTTCTCTGCCACCTGTAGAACACAATGACCTGACGCCTAGTCCTGATGTGCCTTTTGCAATCATGAAACGAAAGCTGATGGCTACCAATGACATTTATGAGGTTAAGAAGATTGCTGCAGAGATGAAAATACACCTGGAGGTAAGCAAAAAAAAAAAAAAATCGAACTAATTTGAACTACACATCAGGTCAGATTAATTTCCATCATAAGCAATGGCAGAAGTAACACCCCTGAAGCCAATGGGGTCGCTTCCAGTTTTGCAGATTGCAACATATATTCTTCAGTCTGGTAACCTCTAGCTGAGGGTTTGCTCTTCCTTTAAAATGCAGGGATCTGTTCTACAAGGCACATTCAGTAGTGATTCTCTAGGCAAATGTAAGCATGCAAAAGTCAGTCTCACAACTTTTATTGCCAGGAAATCCCTCATCTGCATCCATAGGGATTCTTGTTGGGAGGACTTACTCTTTGGTATTAGAGAAGCTCTTGCCTCAGTGGGACTGAAGTCTCCCAAATCAAAAAGCATGGTATTCAGTACTGGTGTTATTGGTGTTTCCTTTCTTCTGGCAGAACCCTAGAAGGACAGTGAGTGATTTTGGGTGCCAGGAGTCTGACTTCCTGTCTTCCTAGTTTTCATTTGTGTATTAAGAGGTCCAAAAGACTCTACTAAAAATAAATGGCAAAATTAGGTTCCTTAAAGAGCCCAAGAGTTGAGGGAAGTTTAAAGAAAGAGAAGTTTCATTCGAAGTCTTCAAATTAGGTTTAGAAAAAGCATGTTTTAAGTTCTTGTCCTTTTGTGTGCAGGTGAAAGAATTCATCCAAGAATCCATGCGAAAGATAATCACCGTAGTAACAGGATCAAAAGAACAGACCAACCGAATTCTGTCAGACAGATTGACCATCAGCAATTATGACTGCTACCAGTCAGCAGTGAACCACTTCAAAGCTCATTGCTTCAACTGGCACTTACCCTTGGTAAGTCAAGCATTAGATATAACCTGGTAAATGTACCAGTAAAACAAGCACAGTAATCATAAGAACATCTGGAAAATCAGTTTTTGTTAAAAAGCTAGCCTGGGGGCAATCATACAGCTTAGTTTTGGAGAAAGGGTAAGTAATGTTTTGGGAAGCAGGAAACCACTTCCACTACACCTGTAGATAAGCAAGAAGATAACTAAAAATACTTTCAGTAAAAACAACCCCCAAAACAATCCCTAATTTTTACTAGTTAGTGCTGTTGCTTCATCAGCTCCCTCTCCAGAATCCCAATATTAAATAAGTTACATTGTATTTCTGCTTGAAGCATCTCTACTGGCAAAACAGAAACACAACACTACTGCTATGAATTCATCATGCCAGTGCATTCAGATTTCTGTATTATGATTGTGTGTTGCATAGTTCCTTGCAATAGCCTACCTGCTACTTCCATGGTCTTGTTGAATTCCCGAGTGCCACTTTTTAGTTTAGGGGTTTTACTACTGTCTGCTCTTCCTGGGATCCTCGTTGAGGACCAAATCCTGTTGTGCTAAGCACTGTTTAGACAAGAATAAGACAGGTCAGTTCCTATTCCAGACAACCCAGGCCTGATGTCAAGCAAGATAACCTAAGCAGGCAGTGGTGTGTGGTAAGATGAGTCAACAGCAAATTGATTTTAGCAGAAAGCAATGGGATTACCTGGCAGTTAGCCAAGATTTAAGTGCTGTATACGAATCAAAAGCAGGTGCACTCCTTCAGTTGGAGCTTCTAATCAACCAGGCTATTAGGAGGCCACATTGCTCTGTTAAACTTTTAGTTCCTCTTTAGAGATTTTTTGGTTTTGTGGAGTTTTTTTGAATAAAATTGGTTAGATGGGCGACCCTTGCCCAAGGAGCCAGTGTGCAGCCACAGCTGAATTTACCTAATGGAGTTCAAAGAGCAAAGCACACAGAAGAAAGATCCATTCAGCCTAGTACTAGATCATCAAGACCATCAGCTAAACACCTTGAATATGAACAACATCTCTAAATTACTTGCACAATTTAGTTTGGATAAACAATACCTGCTCTTCATCACTGAAATGATTAACATTTGTTTATTTCAGTATGAGTATGCACTGAGACAGCTGTATGCCTTGGTCAACGTTTGTGAAGGAGGATACCCCATTGACAGGTAATGAGGTTCCCAGACACGCTGCGTAGTTCTATCTGTGGCTAAAAAAGCAGAAGCTAATGGGCAGATGAAACCTAATGCTAAAAGCTTCTCACTCGTTCTGCTCTGTTGACCGTTTTTTCAGTAAAGTTCTCATTCTAAAGTTAGGAATGCTTGTTTTGGAAAACATATAATTACTAGTCCCCTCCCACTCATAATGATCCATTTCCCAGTAACCCTTTAATTTCCTTGTTGAAGGCCCTCAGGGGAAATCATAGCCAGACAGAGGATCCCACTGCACCACATAACATAAAATAGCACGACTGGTGCAAAGGTGTTGCCCTGTAACTCCTGTATGCTCCTACACTGAAGCAAGGTTGGGAGCTGCTGTATTTTCTCCACTGCCCCCTCAGCTGCTGGCTCAGAACACCACAGCGCTGCGGGGCTCTGGTGAGGAAAGGCAATACAGTGCTAGTGCCCTTGTCTGTGAGCATGTGGTAGGAAAGCAGGGAAGTAATGGTCCAGGCTGACCCTTACAGAGCAAAGGAAGCATGGTGTTGAAATTCTGTCTTGGGAGTTTGTGGTAGAGGATGGGATCCTCGCTTGTGAGTCATGCGAGAGGAAGAAAAAGGGGAGAGGAAGGCAGAGGGGTAGGGAATGGGAGGGTGGACTGGTAGTTTAGGCAGCGTGCATGTGCAGCCCAGAAGGTGAAGAACTGCTGCTTCCACTCCTGGTGGCATCCTGCTGCAGTCAGCTTGGGAAATAGTTTGAGAGTAGAGCACCTGAAAAGCTTCTCATCATTTTTGTTCTCTGTTGCAGAATATGCCTGGCCATGGATCAAGTGTGCCTTGGGTATTGATGGAAACAGCAGTCCCTAGTACAACCCTTACTACAATGATAACTTTTCATAACTGTAATAATCCAGACTTTACATGCATGCAATATGAAGAGAGTCCACCACTGTACTGGAACTGTGCCGGGAGCTGAGGCACCTACCATGAGCGATGCAGCACTTGCCAGTGCCCTCCCCTGCATCCCCACCTGCTGACAGCCTGCTGGTTTGACACAGGCGTTTTGGCAGACCGCCTGGCGCTTTCAAGATGGATGATTTGTTTCAAAGCGCAATGCTCTTAATCTCTGGATGAACACTACAAACCACCTATCAGTGATTGCTAAATTTATGCTAAATTCGACCATCGATTCATTAATTCTGGATATTTTTTTTGTACTATTGCTAACTACTAGCTTTTTAAGAAAAGTTAAGAATTCCATTACAGTGACTAATCAGCGACTAATTTGCAGATTGGTTAAAGAGTGAAGAAACCAAAGCTTGTTCTTTAAGCTTTAACTCCTTAGCAGTTTAAAGAAGTGAGTTGCATTCAAGAACTATCAGATGTGTGAACAGCACAGTTAAACTGTGAACAGTAAAAGTCTTTGTGGGTAGAAAGCACTGTTTCCCAAAGAAAAACACAAATATCTAAAGCTGTAAATTTAGCACCCGTATGCTATAATTAAATGTATATACACACAAATCTGTGGGAAGTCACAGAGTACAGGAATTGCCTGTAAATGAAAATAAAGTTGACAGTTTCATCAATCTACAGGGCAATGCAGTGTTAGACATCTTGTGTCTTGAAAATGAATGAGACCTAATTAATTTTGTGATGTTGCATTAAAAGGTTATCTATCCCCTGTAAGCCTTTTTTAAGATAGGTCATCTCAAAAAAAACCCCAACCCACAAAACCCAAAACAAACCCCAAAATTTCAACCCAAAAGCAAAACCAACAGCAAAATATCAAAAGCCCAAAATCACACTTGAAGGCACTACTCCTTAGAGGTGACTCAGTAAACGACAAGCAGGGGGAAAATTAGAGGTTATGAGGTGATTCAAAATAGCCTCAGGTTGTCTGTACCTTTCATGCGTGGAGACAGGAAACAGAAATACTCCAGGGTTCTTTCAAAAGTGTGTTAAAATATGCACAATTACCTCATCTCTGTGGGAAAAGAACAAACTTTGGCAAAAACTAAACCAGCATCTCCAGGATGGAGAGAAGTTTGGGTAGCTCAGCTTGGAGGAGAGAGGACGTAGGGGGTGTCACTGCAACTAGTTTTATATAAAGAAGCACCTGATAAAGCCAGGAGCGTTAGCACTTTCAGCTGTCTGCTGAGTGAGAGAGCGAGAGAAATCCCAGAGCACAGCTAGTGTCAAGATGGATGGGAAAAGGTAAAAGTAGGTGGAACTAGGCTTTACTGAATTAAATGAAAGTTTGTACCCTGGGGGATCTTGAAAGTTCAGATCCATGCTGCTTTTGAGTTGGTTGTTGTTTCTTTTCAGCTGTAAAGCTGAGGGGTTTTAGCAGAAATCTAAAAATAAGAGAGTATGAAATCCTTGTGTGCCTGACTGTGTTGCAGGTGTTCCCCTGATGGCAGGAGGAAGGGTTGGCCACACAGGACAGCTTTTAGGCAGTCTGGCTGCTGTGATGGAGTGTACTGAGAGCCCCCAGTCACTTTGAAAGCACAGGAAAAATTACTCCTTCAAAGCCTTGTTTGAATGTATACATTAAATCTGCAAAGTTTTACACATCTCTGCTCTTAGAGTTGTTCTCTGCCCTAGAAATCCAGCCTGCTTCTCAAGCACTTAGCATCATCAGTTCACAGTTTTAACAATTTTCTTCACCCTTTAGAAATACCCATTTTCTTCTGAAGTATTTGGAAGAGGCTTTTGGTCTTTTGGATTTTCGTATCTAGAATGCAGAGGGAAGCAAAAAGCCCTCCAGGTTCTTCACAGGAAACATCGCTTTACAGCCAAGAGTCTCCAGCCGTAGTAAGTAGCCTCAAAAACTAATTATCAGATGAAATCTCAGCTGCTGGCACACATTTTTATTTTCACACATTATTGACACCCAGGTGGCACTTGTACCTCATGATCATCACGTGCCCTGGCCCTCCTGCAGAACCCTGGAGCTCTGAGGATGCAAAGCTGAACTGTGGAAGAGTGGGATTTTCTTCTGTTTTCCTCCTGCAGAAGTGATTCCCAGAGCTTCACCATCCTAAATGCTACCCATGGTGGTGTCACCTCTTCCCTTGGGGATGTGCCAAAATGAGAGAGGCAATCTGCTGAAGGTGTCGCTGCACCCCGATACCATCTGTGCCCCACAGAAAGCATTAATGTGCTATTGAATTTCCAGTTTGTATCCAGAGACCCATTTTCCTTGCGGTCACTCAGGGAACAGCCCCGCAGAAGAAAAAAACCAACAGCCTTCACCCGCACGGATCAATACATCTGTTCTAAGGCCTCCAAATAGCATCAGATGGGCTTAGTGTCTGCATGGCAGACTTTATTTTGGGATGGTAATAGAACCTGATGAGAAAATCATTTTAGGATTGTGCAAGGTCACTTTTACGCCAGCATGTATTGGGCAAGCGCTGACACCCTCCCTCTTCCTGCAGGCATGCAGCTGATCAGGCTGCCGTTCCTAGAATGCTGGGGTGCAGGAATGACTTCTGCAACGTATGGAAAACTGTCAGGTTCCCAGCAAATTGTCATCACCAAGCAGAACAGGGCAAAGTTGAGGCTGTGGTATTTACAAAAGCCTTTCCTGAGCCGAAGTTATGTATATCCGTAACTGGCAAGAGTGTCATTTGCACCAGCTGGGGCTTCCTGTCCTCCTCCTCACTGCTAGGAACAGAGCTCAAGGTCCTTTCCCCAGCTGCTCTGTGCCAAACCTGCCGTGTGTTTCCACCCAACATCCTGCTGCACACAGCAGTTCACCGCCTTTCCTTTGAGGGGACCTGGAGGGCAGGAGGCACACGCAGCCTCTGTAGTATGCCGCATGCTGACTATTTCTATATAATGCAAACTTACATGGACAGAGTTTTGTTCAGAGCGCGTGCAACCACCCTGCCTTCTCTGCTAGCAATAAAGCAGAAAGCAGTTCACCTGGTGTTGGAGATAACGCACTTTTTTAGAGATTCCAGTAAGTAGTATTTTAGCTCTGTCCAAACCAAGCTGCGTCTTCTCTCACCAGGAGGACCTAAGGTAAGTGCTGAGCCACCCTGCTCATCTCAGGGCAGGAGGCCGAAGGCCTCGTTCCTGTGCTCTGCCTCCGCCCTGTGAGACCAGGGATGGAGGAGCAGCAGAGGAAAGGACATGTAAACTAAAGTCCTGACTAAGCAGCCTTTCGTGCCAAGAGCTCCGGCAATTCTGAATCAGAGGCCGCTTCCTTCCTAGGGACATGACACCCCAAAAGAGGCAGGAGACAACAGAAATGTTACAAGTCTGTAACCCTGGGCACGACAGGCAGAGCCAGCCAGTATCGCACAGTGCAACACCCATCCAAGGAGGGACTCTGGTAGGACAAGCGGGGTCTTCACACCAGCTGGGTAGGAGGAAACCATTTTTCACAGCGCAAGGGTTTGAAATGCTGGCCCAGGGCCCCAGCGAGGCTGTGTGATCTCCAGCCCCAGGGACCTGCAGCACGGAAAGGATGAGGCTCTGAGCAACCTTGGGAGGCAGCCCCACTCGAGCGGGGATCGGCCTGGCGACCTCCAGGGGCCCTTCCCAGCCTGAATCGCCCTTTGATTGCTATAGCTTTTATTTTAGGTTATACACAACCTGCTGGTGTAATTAGTTCAGTGAATTATTGATAGATCATTTCACTGGGTGCAAAGTGGCATTAAATCAGCGCTGTGCACGAAGGGGCCACACGGGCTTTTTGTTTTTTTCTTTGCAGAAGTTGCTGGGTTCAGGAGGTCTCCCTCTTCCTCTCTCTCACACGGTGATCCTTTCCTTGTGAGTAAATGAGTGACCGTTGCACAATGTTTTTCTGCAAATGAGTGTTTGAGGCGGCCTTGGCTGGATTGCACAACCCTCCTTGGTCAAAGTCTCCTGAAACACTCCTGACTGCGGATGGCTCATGTGAGGGCCGGAGCGTGAGTCACAGCCTGACCATCTTGACTAACCAGGGAGGCCGCAGATCACCAGACCAGACTGCTTCCTCCTCACCTGGGCTGCAGCATGAGGAAACCCCATGGCAAAGCAAAAGAAGAAAAAAATCTCATGGAGTATTTAAAAATGCCCATTTCATTCCCACATTTGAAATTTTTTTTTTTTTTCTGTCAGCTGAAGTGGTAGCTGAAAGCAACACAGAACCCAGGGCACCAGGGTCTGGAGGGAGGGACGTGCTGAACCACTCCAGCAGTCTTCATGCTGGGGACTCAGAGCTTTGCCAGGGTCACCAAAATGACAGCAGAGCTGCATGATCCTGGCGCAGGCAGAAGCCAGAGTACTACTGCTGAGCTGTGAGCTTGGCAAGGCGGCAGCTGTCCCTGTCCTGGTCCTCCAGGATCCCGTCATTCAGGTCATCTCCCAGCTTGCGTTCCCTTACAGGGGACAGCTGTGGTGGGGCCCTGGGGCAGCCGGGTCACCCCTGTGCCCCAGAGATGTATGGTTAGCAAAGTCGTCGCTGGTGGTTTATATAATGTGGCCAAACAGGCCAGGTGCCCCACGGCCTCTGAGCAAGCCGTGCTCTGCACCAAGCCCCAGCACAGGGATTTCCTTCCGGGCAGCTCGTGGCCAGGGGCAGTAACTCGCATTACAGTCAATAAGCTCTGAGCTTGGGAGAGCTGTGGCAACCTTTCCAGATCAAATCAGAGCTTTGCAGTTGTTAGACCAGCAGAAAATATTGCATGTGCAATTTGAGAGCCTTTGTAAAAGCCCACAGAAATTCCGCTGGCGCTCCTTGCATTTTGAAAACTGTGATTTTGGGACTAGGCTTTGATAAATTGTAGTCTGAGCCTATTCCAGCTGTATAATCTGTGGTTCCCATCGCCCCAAGGTCCGGCCGCTGACTCAGATGTCCCAGGACACTGTGAGGTGCCGGAGCGCTTCATTTCATCAATCTGCTGCTTGACTCTGGCCGGTGCAAAGTCCGGTTGCTCTCTGGCAATATCCAGCAGATCAGTCCTAGTTTCCATCCTCGCATGTTTCTACTTTAGCCTCATCCCTGTCAGATTACTTTAGGCTCATTAACCATGAATGTTACAGTATAAAGATAACCTGATCAGGCCAAGGACTTTGGCAGACATACACATCTTGGCTCCTGGGGCTTAAAATAACTTGCAGCAGCCAGGGCAGACCGAAGCTGCTGGTCAGACTCCCCAGTTATCTGGGTCTGGTGCTGGGAACCCCCAGTCCCATTGTACATGGGCCCTGTACAGTGTGTACCTGTGCCCCGGCGGTGGGAGGTGAGGTGGGTACATGGCTTGGAGTTCTACCAAGGGGGTAAGAAGGTTGGTGGGAGGTGGGCCAGAGAGCAGTCTGGGCCTGTGGTTTGGGTGGGAAAGGGAGGCGAGAGGCGGGGAGGTGCCTCCTTTGGGTGCAAAACAGAGAATTTGGAAAGTGTGTGAGGGGTATGTCTGAGGAAAAAGGAAGGCTCATAAGTGATGCTGCCCAGAGGTTGGACCCTCCTGCTGCCACAGCCCCAGGGGTGACAGTCAAGATTATCTTCAGCATGGCCAACATGGAGCAGGCCAGCCCTCAGGACGTATGGACATCAGTGATGGTGCCTACGGTGGAAACCAGTCTCTCTGTGCTGTGTGCCAGGGTTTTAGTGGCAGTGTTACCACCAGAGGGGGAAACTGCCATAAGCTTGCCCAACACACAGGGGTGGTGGTGGGCTGAGGAGCCAGTCAGGGTGAGGACATGTTGCCTCACGGTCTGGGAGGGCTGACATGGGGTCCTGGGCTGTAGGCAGGGCGGGAGAGGCCTGGGGAGGCATTGGAGGCAGCAATGCCTCAGGGCCCTGAGAGAAGCATCTCCTCCATCAGATGGGTACTGGAAAACTGTATCTCAGGTTTTGTCACGGCATCATGGAGTGCCGCCCGCCCGGAGAGCAGCATAGGCTCCCAGCAGGAGCACACTGCCCTGTGAGAGGCTAATGGCAGCGCAAGGGAGGGGTTCAGCTCCAGCGTCCTGCGGGTGTGCTGCCCAGAGGCAAGGCAGAGGAACCGACAGCTGCACATGAGCAGAAATAACCATGAATTTGGAGTCAGCTCAGTGCCGGTGTCACACACTGCAAGCTCTGCACATGATGTCCTGATACCAAGACTGCTGTTATTCACTGTTCCTCATTCTTGGTTGTTGTCCCTTCCTAAAAAGACCTGCATGCAGCCCAAGTTGGCAGATGCACAGCACTGGTTTGCTATCTATATGCAGATTTGGCCAGTGCACGCTGCAGCTGGGCCACGTAGACACGGACATTTTAAGCCCCAGAGACTGAGAGAGCAACCAGCTACATGCGATGCCATTTTGGGGGTTGGACTAGATGACCTCTAGGGGTCCCTTCCAACCCAAAACATTCTATGATGATCCTATGATTTTACCTTTGGAGCTTCAGGAGTAAGGCAGGGACCTTGGTCAACTTAACCCAGTTCTTTTTTGAATGGTAATGGGGGGAAAAAACAGCAGCTTTGAGCAAAACCCACAGCAAAACACTCAGAGGGCTGCTAGGCCTGACCCCAAGTTTGTGTAGCTGCAGTGGAGGTTACTTGCCTCCTGCATGCAGACAATCCAGTAGCTTGTGTTCGCAGTGGGAATCTTGCCTGAATGAAGGCTCTCAGAAGACATGGATCTGTCTTGCAATTAAGGCTCCTGCTTCCATTATCCAATCCTGAAAAATTGTTTCCAAATTTCATGAAACAGATTTTTGCATTGGTTCAATTTATCCTGTGGAAATTTAGGTTTGCAGGGAAATTTAAGTCTTCAATGACTGAATGACTGAAAGCACAGGTGGAAAGGTGAATTAGCAATTCTGTCTGCAACAGCCTGAATTTATTGAAGTAATAACCTGGTGGGACTTATAGATACAAAAACACTAGAGAAAATGACATCTGGGTAAAAAGGGACAGGTAATTGATTCTAGCTCTTTTTGACTTTCAAATTTTAATCTGGTTTGCTAGACTGGGCGAATTATTAAGTTCTTTACAAAAGCTTATTTTAAAATAATTGCACCATATCACACATGGAAATAAATATACAATTAATCAGACACTATCATACAACCAAAATGATTAAAACTGCTGTACATGTAAAACTGACGGTGAAGACTTTCAATTTTTAAGAAAAACGCATTGCTGAAAATGCCTATGCTACCTGATTTCAGTGACAAACAGATGGCAGAAAACGTATTCTTAGTGAAGGTACAGGATCATCCCGCATGGTCTGTAATTACACGGATTTCAAAGGCAATAACATGTTGTAGACAGCAAGACAGAGATGGAGCTCTGCTACAGGTGGCAATCCTATGCCACTGAATACATCAGACAAGACTCGGTTTATGCAAACTGGGTGGACAGATATTGCAAGGCATAAACACAGTCTTACCTCCAGATAGCACTGAGGTACGTGCAGACCTTTCACAGGCCTTGTGCACAGAGGTGATTCACACCTGCCAGAATTTATTATGGAGTAAATGTCCACTTTTCCACAAGATCTCTGGATTTTTCTCCACTGTCCGTTTACATTCTGTGACGCCGGCTGGTTGCCAGTGGGAGGTTCTGAGGTTTGATACTTCAAGTTTTCCAGAGGATGAATGTTCTCCTGAATGCTCCTTTTATTTCTGCAAATGAACTCTGCTGAGAAATGCCCTGTATTCAGACAGCATCTACAATTAGCACATCTGCCCTGTGTTGAAGGCCACGCTCCAGAGATCTTCTGAGGTCTGTAGATACCAGAGGATCTCATGAGATAAACTATCCAGCCCTTCCAGGATGACAGCAAACACAACAAAAAAGCTGCATGGCCCTTAGGGAAGGTCTGACTCTTCTTTGACAATTGAAACTGGTGGGCTTTTATGGTCTATCGGTTTATAAATAAAATGGAAATCCTTCTTGGTTTCACTCTTCAGCAGGGAGGATTTGATATGGTGAGGAAGGGCATCTTTGTCCAGCTGCAGCCACTGGTCATCAACATAAACAAAGAGTCCATAGTCCTTGGGATGGGAGACTTCAAACTTTTCGGCACACTGCTGACTCAGCTGCTCAGCCGTGGTGTCATTCCGGGAAGCAAGTGTCCTTGACTGAGCACCGATTTCCAGAAAGGAGATAGAGATGAAATCCTGAAGAGAAACACGAGGATAGATCTTGCAGTTAACACAGTGACTTGGGACTGAAGCAGGCAGAATTCAGCCCAAAGCTCTAGCTGCCTAGAGCTCCTAAACTCTCCCAAATATCGTCCAGTCATCCTCCAATGCCCCAGTTTTTCTCTCCTTTCTCCCCTCTGACGAACAAGCTCTGAATCAGCAAATACTTAAACTAACACTTAGCCAAATAATTAGCCCTGTAAAGACACATAAGTGAAAGCTTTTTTCTGATTTTGCTGAATATCATTAATATGCAGGCTGCGACAGTTCCTTCTCCCGCCTTACTACAGCTCCTGAAGAAACAGAATGCAAAGAAGTAACAGGCCAGAATAACAAGCCCAAAACCTCAGAAATTTGGCCTGAAAATCCCTTGTCACAGAAACAGGAAAGGGCTGGCAGTGCAGTGACCCTTCTAATTCCACCGTCACT